ATATGGTATTACATATAATCACCATATAATATGAATTATTTTATAAGCAATTTTTTTCGACTTTTATTTTTTTGAAATGTATTTTAAAAAATACACAGACAAATATTAGACATCTACTATCTAAATTATCTAGAACATAAATATTTAGTATATAAAACGTGTGTGTGTGTGTGTGTTCACATACATATAACTAATCTAGTCTAGACTAGAGAATATACAAATAACTATTTATACGCAAGTACAAGATATGTGTAGCAGGGACGTAGCCAGAAATTAATCTCGGGAGATGAGATATTATTTTATTGATGGAATAAAAAATTACATAATAAAGGAAGAATAAAATTTTGTTATTTGTGTTTGCTATTTCTAAAGAGTTTATATATTCAGATTTTTAGTCGCTCACAATTCGATAGCTATTGATAGCACATTACTTTTGATAAGAAAAACATTAATTTCAATTTATTCAAGAATCCATATGTAAATGAAAATTTGTAGAAACTGGGATAACTGAGGTATATGGGCGTGTATACATAACTATCCCTATTTGTTTCACTCTTTATTTATGCGTCTATAATACAGTAAAAAGTTGCAGATCCTCGGGGAAGCAAATATATCTTCGTAACTTTCATTTCCTCTTTGTTGTTATCACGAAAGGTGCAGAATCTTTATTAAAAATCCATGAGAATTATCAATTATTGTATCATCAATGATACACACAAATGAAACTCATATAAAATTTAATTAATTTGATTTTATATGAGTCTCATGTTAAGTCGAGACATAGAACGCGTTCTTTGCGTCAAGCAAGGTAAATCAGATGAACATTCAATTAAATATGCGATGATGTTATTTATGATTCTTAAATACCGAGTGTAAAAGATTCGTAAGTTCATCACAATCTTGTCTCAAGAATTCGATATATTGGAAGCACGGATATTAAGATCGTCAGATACGGTGTACATACAACGGGTCTTACGTATTATGTGTATATTACGTTGCGATGTATATATGATTACAGCGGTATCACGTGAGAGCGCTTTCGTGAACAGATGCGATCTCGAGAACCTTCGACATGCACGACGTTCGATCCGCGTCGCGAGCCTCTATTAAGGGGATTGTACGTACGCGAGCGGGGGTGACTGAAACCTCTTTTTGTTCCTTTCCGGCGCGACGTTTTATACGCAAAGGTTTCTCGACATGGTACATTGTACTTCGCTTTTCTTTTAATATTTAAATATAACGCTGTAATTAGAAATTCGAGTTTTTCATACATTTTGCTATTGTCGATCTAGCTTCTGTTAACTTTTCTGCTAGCTTTTGATAAAGTTTCTATGCAGTATATATACATACATATATATACTATAAATATTAATACCTGAAACTGTAATATTTTTTTTCTTTGTAGAATAAGTATATGCAGAATATTTTTTTCTATATTTTAAATCAATGTATGATTATACTGTTTTAATACAATGAAAGGAAATTTAATGATTCTAATAGTATTTATTGAAAACTATTTAAATAATGATGGATATATTTTCAATGTTTAACAATGAATTTTATTTATTTAATTTTTAATATTTTTAATAAATTAATTTTTTTTCAAGTTTTATATTTAACGGTAAAACATTAGTCTAAATTTTATCTAACGTTCATAAAATGTTCTATGCAATGGTTTCAGCGAAATGCTTCTTACGTTTCTTATTTAAGTAATGCTCTCAAGTCTCCGTTTACGTAGGTGAGCGCAAAAAATCAGAGGAATTAATTAGACACGTGTTTTCTTATTCGAACAACAGATCGTGACGTGACAACTTATTTTTAATCTATATGTGAGACGCGCGTGTATAGTTACCCTATAATTGCACTAGTAAATCGTCATGTGAATGCTGACGTTTTTGCGTTTCTAATACTAACATCTCGTGGAGCAGTGCCAGGTGAAATGAGACAAAGCGAAGAATAATGAGAGGATTCAAAAGAAACAGTATGTCGTTTTGATCTAGGAATAGATTAAAATATGAAAAGAGAAATTATCAACTTATTAACGAGTACGATAATAATCGAAACATATAATAGGAGTAATTAATTTCAAAGCTCCTACAAATAAATTAAAACAATTTAATTAGTAAAGCTTTAATTATGCACACACAATAAATCATTTTATTTATTACAGTATGCTGATTTTAAGTTTTCGGTCCGCATAGTGTCGTTTATACAGTCTTAAATTAATTTGTTTGTGGATATAAAGTTGAACTGTCTGCAAAAAAAAGTCGAACTATATGCAAAAATATTCGGAAAGTTGATGGAGTTTCCGATTTTTTGTTACATTCGTGATTCATACGTTATTTAGTTTTTTGTAAATTTTTCTATACCATGCGTCAAATGGTCGCGCAGAGAATCTGGAATATGGAAGGCACAGTTACGCAATATAGATGATTTTACGAAAATTACAGTATCGATGAATATAATTTGATAGAAGGATGTTCTACGGACTTTTATAATTTTATTTTCGAATTTTTATTTTTGTTTCTCTCTAATGTCACGTTGTACTAAATAATACTATGCGCATCAGTAAATCGTGATTATTTACCATTGTGGTGTTATTAAATTGTGAATTATGACTCAATTGTAATATATTGTACCACACTTTTTTCATAATAAATATATCAAAATAAATTAAAATATTTATGTAAAAAATTGATAATTTTTTATTCAATCTCTTAAAGTTAAGATATTTTACGTCTTCTTGTTCCGCGGAACGTATATTTTTAATAAAAAGTTTTTTATTTATTAAAAATGCAATAAATATATGTATATTATTTGAAGACGTTTTAAAGTGCATGTTTTGTTAAGCTTTAAAAAATAAACATAAATTTTTAATAAAAATTTAATAAAATATAAAATAGATTTTATAATATTTTTTGTTATAATCCATGCTAGTGTAAAATTAAGAAAACTGCGTGATATTAATAAAAATTCATAAATAATACTAATTTTTTTTAACTTGTTGAAAACAACATTAAATATTTAATAGATTGTCACAAGCAGAAAAATTATCCATCATATACAAGTTTGCTTTCTCTTTCTTAATTTTTATTAAGTTAAACTATTTATAGATTCTCGTCAAACTATATGCATTAAAAGTGTACAGTGCGTGAAAATATTTTTTTAATCATGCTTTTTATCTTTAACCTTTTGTTTCTCAAGTTAAAGTCAATTTATGTCACGCAAATTTTAAAGATGTCATGAGCCATTTCAGTGTCTTTCTAAATTTACATGTAAGTTCATCCCTAATTCCTCATTCCTCATTCTTTCCAATAATATATTGTACATATAATGCTTTTCGAAGAGCTGTAACGAACTTTATCCTCGATGCAAGCGTTACATCGTATTATACCGGCTGCATGGCATTTCTAATTACAAAGAACACTTTCAATTCCTTTGGCTCGCGAAAAGAAATTTTTATATTTAGCCGCTTTCGCTCTATAGACTATAAACTATGAAGCACGCGAATTTTGCAGAGAGAAATTTATACGACAAAATCACCATAAAGATATTTGCATCCAAAACATATGTAGATCTTAGTCGGTAAAAACTATATCAAGAATAAACGCGGTTGCACATTGCACAAGCAGATAAAATGCGATGATTTACATACTGGTAGTGACATCTTACAACGTTAGAGAGATTCTCAGTTTAATACAGTAAAATTATTGCAACAAATATATACAACGGAAATAAATCTTTGCTACAAAATATTAAATTCATTGCCTTTCTAATTTCGTTTCATAATATGAAGTTTTGAATTGAATAAATTTGTTATATGGAAAGATGTTTTATATAACAAATTACATATGATTGATCTTTATACGATAATATTTAGGCTTGCTGTGTGTTATATTATTGAGAAATTTGTGTTACGATAGGAATAAAAGTTACGGTACGTTCGGAAACAGCACCCGAGCATCGTTCTATCTTTGTTCAACTTTTAGTAAACAACAAAGATAGAACGACGCTCGTGTGCACACGGGTGATGTTTCCGAACGCAGCCTTGTAGTGTGCAATATAGCAAAAGAGTCTGCATCGCATATTTATCATCAAAAGAAAAGAGAATTTTCTTTATTATCGGTAAATAATAACACCATCTTTGATATTTGTTAATTTGTAAATTTCATCATATATGTATTTCTACTACGTACATATTTATTCACTACTATAAAACATATTTATATATTATATTTGTATACAAGACACACATACACAGTCGATTCTAAAAGTATTAATGTAAATTATTATTATAATTATAAAAATTTATCTTGCCTTTTTTATCAATTTTTACAAAAAAACATTAGAAAATCATCAGAGAGTTTTATTTACGAAATATATATGTAATATAACAAAAAATAAAAAAAAAAAATATAGTAATCACAAAAAAAATAATAAAATTTAATACTATAATTGCGGTATGTTATTGTTACATAGATAACATTATTTTATAATCCTATAATTTCTGTTATTAAGCCTACTAAAACGTGATATTTTTTTGTGAAGCTTATTTTAAAAATGGTATATTTATGTTACAATTCAACACATTCTAGGGAAGACAAATTTTATATTATTATTGAAAAAAAATATTTCATTTTAATATTATTATTACAATGATTTAAATAAATGAAAATGGAAAATAGTGTCATATAATTATTTATAAATTATATAAAGAATATGAATGTATAATAAGTTTTAAGTGTGTTAACTAATAATAAATTAGAATATAATAATTTAAATGCTATACAATACAGATAACAATTATTTTTATAATAAAATATTAAAAATAATAATTAACAAATATTATGCTTAATACTGTTAAATTATAATCAAGTTAAATATTGTTAAAAACTATGAGCCAAAAATAATTAAAAATAAATGATATATAGATAATAAAAAATAAAAGAAGATAAATATAAACGGTGTTCATAACAGTTTGTATTAAAATTATTATTATTCATTGATTTTTAATTGTAATTAATTATTCAAGTCCAACTTCTTTCAAGTTTAAAAATTTCCGAATTAAGTTCCATACTTTTTGATTTGAGAGAATCGTATTTCCAGTTTCCTTTGAAGACACCATTTCCAATGTTCCACAAGATTTTTACTCGCGCCATAACTTGCTACAATACTTGCCTAAATCAATATATTTTAGCATTAGGAAGAAATAATATTATCTCATCTTAAAAGTCTAATACGACATATGTTATCGTTATTAACATATAATTAGAGAACATATCATTCATAAACATGTAGAAGATATAATTAAGCTTATTGTAAGATATAAATAAATATAATGTTTATTTTAATGTTATAATAATGTTTACCTCGTGAGTTTTTCTCTGGTGTAAAATATCAGTTACGCTAACATACGCTTTCTTTTCTAGAATAAGTGTCGCGGTTTTCTTTATCTAAAACAGATTATTTCGACATTTATTATCAATAAATAGTACTATTAATTTAGCACTATATAATAATCTAGCACAACATTAATTCTTCTCCCCCCTCCCCACCCCCTCAGTATGATTAAAATAAAATATTGTGTATATGTATATATATATA